CACAGGAGGGGGAAAAGGAGTTAAATAAAACTCTGCTATCTAACCATTACTTTAAAAACAAATGGCTTCTTGCTATAATTGGCAAAGAAAGGTTTTGTTGAGCAGTAGAGAAAGTGAGTCTCAGGGGGAGACACACCAGAATCATTAAGGAAGTAAACAGAACAGGAATAACCTGAACAACCCACACAAAGGACCTGTGCTCGCTGTTCAGGCACAGGCAACGCCATCGCTGGTAGTTCTGACTCAGAAATTTGTTAATGACACTGGCAGTGACTGTGACCTCGATCTTGCCCTTACTGATGGAAACTGACGCAAGCACACCGCTGCTGCTAAGTCCCTCTGGAATCTGAGTCACAGCCTATCCTAGTGTCCTGAGTCTGACAATCCTGATCCCATTTATGGAGGCAAAAGCACACATCCCGAGGGTGGAGAAGTCTCCTCACGGAGGCTGAGTCTGTGTAGTGAGGACTGTTTGCTCGTAGGGCAGACACCACTGAAAAGCTTGTAAGGATTTTACCTAACAAATATCTAGTGATTAAGTCATTTTCCTATTTTTATTTTTCAAATGTATCTGTGTTTTTATCAAGTGTCTTTATCCCATGTGTCTGCCTGTAATTATAAGAAGGCAATCAGAGTCACCACACAAACGCAAACCTGACCCTCTCATTAACCTGTGAAATGCAAAGAGCAAATGTTAAAGGTTCCTATCAGAGTTTTCCCCCTTCTTTTTGATGGATGCTGGGGCTTGAACCTAGGGCCTCATGCTTGCTATTGGAGCTATTACCTTTACGAACTGTGGTTAGAGATAGCTTTCAAGGTGATCAGGGCAAGCAGAGAAGTGAACAGTTTTATCTCTGATAAATGCACCAGACGCATGCCTGGGTGATAAGAAGAATGGAAAGCAGAGCCCCTAAGACTTGAAATTGAGAGGAGATGAGGACACCTCCGGGGTCACCTACTTGGCTGGCTGACGGTGTTGAGGCTGGGAAGACAGGAGGCTTTCCTGAGACTGGGCGTCAGCTACTCTGTGGCTCAGCTGCCTTTGAAGAGTCAGCACTGTCTCTAAGGTGTGACGCAGGGGTGTGACAAATTAAGTGTGCTGACTTCCAGCACTTATGCTGTGTGTTAAGGCGAGGTGACTCAGCAGTAACAATAAAAGATAACAAGAACTAGCTCTGTTAGCTGCATTTCACACAAGTGCATGCACACACACACACACACACACCTGCCTATAGTTCCTCATCAGTGTCTTGTATCTACCAAGTGACATGTTACTTTCCTACTTCACATCTTTGAAAATAATACAGCTGAAATCTCAGATACAGGCTCCAGAAAAAGAACCTGAGAAATTGAGAGGCATCTCGTCTCACATAAGAAGGTGTGCCTGGGTGACACAGAGATGAGTAAACATGGCGCACTCTTGCGGGTACTGGAGGCCATCTTGGATGAGCCAATATGGCGGAACTTCTCTGAAACCAAGGCTCCTGTGGGAGTTACGGATTTAGCTCTTAAGCAGTACTACTTGCTGGAAAAGGTCACATGTGCCAATTTCCTTACTCCTAGAACTTTTCAGCTTCAACACAATTGACATTTGGGGAGGATATTTCTCTCTTGTGGAGGGCTATGGTCCTATGCACTAGAGAAGGTTTAGCTGCATTCCTGGATGTCTTCAGTTGTGGCAGCCAAAAGTGTCTCCGGACAGCCCTGATAACCTCTGGAGAGCAAGACCAACCATGGCTGATAACCACTGTTCTAAGCCAAAACATACTTCTTAGGGGATAAAGTCTCTTGGGCCTGAGTTTAATGTTCACATACTAGACTATAAGTGCAGGGGAAGAGTCTGCCCATGTGGTCTTCATAGTCCCCCCAAATCCAAGGGGATTCAAGTTTTTAACCTTTGAACTTACTGTTTCAAACAGCACAGAAACATACTCTGTGTTGTACAAGGGTACATAGACCGGGGAGTGGAAGAACTTGTTTCTCGCCCTACTCGAGCCACTAACTAGTCCTGTGACTTGGCAACACAGTGTAATCTCTCTGGGCCTCTCGTGTTTTGTTTTATTTGTAAGTGAAAGTGCCTGACTGAACTTTCCAGTTCTAAATACAAAGACTGTGAGTCAGAATAGCTGATACCATGGAGCAGAAAACAAGCTTTTTGTCCTTGAGAGAGGCTTTATGTTAAACCTCCCAAGAGCATTTAACTCCATGTCCTTGAGCTCCAAAGACAGATCCCTGGAACCAGATACTTCTGAAAGTCCAGAGAAACCTCTGGAGTAGTAAGTGGCTGGAACTGTATCACCTGATCTTTGGGTGTGGCTGTCTCACAGACCAAGCATGGTCAAAGAGGTCTTTATGGCGAGAGGGAATGATCTCATCATAAGAACTGCTATTAAAGCTTGGTGTGTGTGGTGCAGTCTCAGCTACTCAGGTGGCTGAGGCAGGAGGATAGCCTAGGCTGGGCAATTTAGCAGGACCCTATCTCAAAAAAGGGGGTAAAGGGTAATTGCTGGGGATATAACTCATTGACAAAGCACTTCCCTAGCATATGTAAGGCCCTGAGACCCATCCCCAGTACTAGGAAAAATAACAAAAACAACAGCAGCAGCAGCAAAAGCCCAACAACAAAAAGCACCTATCATTAGAAATCTGGGACTTGAAGTGATACTGTACCAACCAACCAAAAAACCCTAAGCTCCTTATACTCTTATTACATGAGCCAAAAATACTGAAATAAAATCAGTCAACTTAGGATCTATAACTCTGTGTGGGTGCCCTGGTGTCTTTAAAGCCAAGACAGAAAGGAAGAAGTCATGCTTTGATTACCTTTGTAAACACAGGAGCTGCAATGATAGGTTTTCCATCCAATCCTTGCAAATAGTTGGTCGGACTCTGGCACTGTTAGAAGGGAACCAACAACAGACTCATTATCACTAAAATTATTACCTAGATTGACAGGTATAACAAATGTACAGAATTTGATGTATAAAATTTTTTTTTTTGGTACCAGGAATCAAACTCACAGCCTCGTGCTTGCCAGGCAGGCACTGGGCCGTTGAGCTATATCCCCAGCCTGATGTATAAAATTAATCTCAAATCAAAAGGCATATTTTCTAGGTTTATAAATCACAGCCTTCAGATTTTAGGTGAAATTGAGTGCATTTCTTTGTAGGTCATGGACACACTATCCATTCCCTTGCTCAGCGTATGAATCCAGGTAATTAACACTAATTCCCTGAAGCGATCTCATAAAACCCCTGGGGCAGCACAGATCACAGTGGAAAGCCAATGAATTAGAACTAAAACTCTATCCTTCTGCATCACTAAATGGATTAGGTAAATAATTCTGATTTTTAAAAATAAAAGGTTGGAGATCAATAAGTTAAATATATTAATCATCAAGAAACAATATATCATCACGTTTTACAAACATTTAGGTCATATGATTTAATGTGTTTTACAGTATATGCATATATATCTATTCTTATATGTGCATAGGTAATGCCTGGAACTATCTGAGACTTCTAGTAGGAAGTACCTCTGAGGAGTGGTGTAGAACCCTGATTAAAGTTTTTACTTAATACGCCCCTTAACTTTCTGAATTTTTAAATACTAAGCATATATTATTATTATTAACTTGAAAGATGAGACCCTTTACTACTTCCTAAAAAATAACCTCCTGCTTGCTCTCTCTTAGGCACTAAAATCTTTCGTGCTCCATGAAACTGAGTTTTATGATGTAGAGTATCCTGGGCTGGTCCAAGAGCTGGTAGCTCATCATGCAAGTAATTGTCACTCTTAATAAAACCAGAATGTCAGAGACTAATTTGAGAAGAGTTCCCTTTCCTGTAATATTTGCTTATGAAGCTGGAGCAGTGGGAACCGCTCCTACATCAGGAGTGCAAAGTGACCTTCACCCCACAGAGCTGCAACAGAGGACAGAGCGATTGTGCCGTACAAGACCGTCACAGTCGGTCACAGCACACGTCCGTCACAGCCCACGGCACTCGCGTTCCATCTAGATTCTGTACCTGCTGGATGGTTGTCACTCTGGGCTGGGCCACCAAATGCGGGGCTGGGGGTGCCGCTGGAGGAATGGCTGCAGAAGTAGTGGGAGGCAGGGACACCTCGTTTGGCTTCTGGATTCTGAGAAATGATTAAGATACATATAGATTATAAAATAGAGCTAGGACTTTTTGAGAAAAGTCTTTCAACAAAACTAGTAAAGCCTCTACTGCATGTAGTTCGGGCTAATCACACACTTGGCTTGATAGTATCCTACAAGTGTTTACTGAGAACTTCAGGCTACACTTCACCCAGCAATGCAGACATGGAGATGAACGAGACACCATTCTTGTGGGTTACATGCAGGGTAGCCAGGGAGTCAGACTTATTAACAGCTCCCTGAGATCCATGACAGGAACACGGGCAGAGGCAATTCTCTGAAGGTTTGTTTGGTTGTTCTCTGTATTTCTTCTTTCCATTTCAAGTAGGAGGCCAGATTTGTAAATCTTTACCAGTGTCATTTTGGCATGTCAAAAAGTAGAAATAACCTGAAATCAACAAGCTTTTCAAATTTACACACATTTTCAGGGTGTGACAGTGCACACTTGTCATCCCAGCATTTGGCAGGCTGAGGCAGGAGGTCACCATGGGTTTGAGGCCAGCCTGGGCTACATAGTGAGACCCTGTGTCAAGCAAAACCAAACCAAACCAAACTACACAACCTAAACTAAACAACTAGAGAGAGCATTCCCAGCACAGTGCGCAGACTGACAGGGAAGGAGAAAGTGAACCGTGTGTGGCTGGGGTGGGACGCAGGCAGCCCGACGGAGAGAGGGGCCGGGAGGCCGCCCGGCCACGCTGCTGAGTAAGGCTTTGCACGTAGGCTGATTTCAGATTAAGAAAACACGTTTGTCTCATGTTCAATTTCTGTCTTCCTGTAGATACTCTTCTTTTTTTGTTGTTGTTTGTTTTGTTTTTTGATACCAAAGGGGTCTCACTCTATAGTCCAGGTTGGCATCGAACTCATGGTGATCCTCTTGACTCAGCCTCTTAAGTGCTGGGATTACGGGCCGATTCGATACTCATTTTTTTTGAGCCAGGAAAATGAAAGGATCAAAATGATTTTTCTGGGGATAACTGGTAACAGTACTTTCAAGCTGTAAAAGAAAAGGCTGGAGCAGACGGCAAGAGCTCTAAGCAGGTGACTGGCAAGGGGAAGAAGAGAAGGCAGCTGAGGCAGGAGGGCACCCACGAAGGGCGTGAAGGAGGAACTCTTTACTCCAGCTCTTTCTATCTGTGGAAAGGCTGAGAGCAAATTATTGTCACAAGGTAGACACGGGCAAAAAATTCTGAAGAATGGAACATGATTTCCCCTTACGGAGTTCCCCTCTGTAAGGGAAGGCGGATATGCAAACACAGTTTACGTCTCTAACCACTCTCCTGAATCCCGCTGTGTGCTCCATGTAATCACAAGCAGTGGTTACTGTGACTATTTCCAGGCCCCATGGCTTCTGCCCGGAATGACCTCTGGTTGTGGGGGCGCCCTCCTACTCTTCTTTTAAGACTCATTTTAGAGCTGGGCATGATGGCTCGTGCTTGTAATCTCAGCTACTCAAGAGATTGAGGCAGGAGGATTGCAAATTCAAGGTCAGCCTGGCCAATTTAGGAAGACTGTCTCAACATAGGAAGGACTGAGGTTATACACAGTGGTAGAACATACCCAAGGCTCTGGATTCAATCTCCAGTATTTTAAAAAACATACACACAAAAATTCAGGTACGAGTCAAAATTCTGTGCAGCTTTTCTTGATTTCCTTCTCCCTCCCCAGCTTAAAAACAGTCTCTTGTGTGCAATCCCGCACACACTGTGTGTAATCCTGGATTACACTTGTGTGTAATCCCACTGTGTGTGGGCATCACAGTCTGGTCCATCTCATCATTCTCACTGTCCAGGTGCTTCCATACATGTCTTGCCAGACTTGCTATGTTTCTCTACTAGAGTGTGAGCCTCTTGAAGGCAGGAAGCATCTGACTTTCTACAGAATCCATTGGGTCTGGCACAGCACCTGGGGCAGAGTGAGTGCTCAGTGTGCAGTTGTGGAGGGTGATGAATGGATGGACATGACTTTGTTCAGCATTTGGCACAACTGTTTGGCCAAAAGGTTGTAACTTGTCCAGATCACTTATTTGTATGTGTATGCTAAATAAATTATTGTAGTAAAAAGTGTATAAAATTATGTGTAAAACTATATATATATTATAAATTATATACACACATATTTAGGATTACTAGGTTTTGTGTTCTTGGAAATACTACTTAAGCATGCGATTTTTAAACCATCAGGTATTGTTTTTTACTCTGTAGATAAAAGTAAGATGATTTTTCAAAGGTGATGCTTCATTTTTTAAATATTGAGAATATTTGAATTAACCTGTTAGGCAAGACTTAAGCAAAAGACATAGCATCTTCTCCAAATCTGCTCTGCTTTTTTAAATTAGTTAATTTAATTTTAGGTCATACCCTGAAGTCACCTTTTGCAAGACCTAGAAACCAATTAGAAGTTTATTTGTTTCCCCTGGTACTGGGATTGAACCCGGAGTACAGCCACAGCCCTTTCTCTTTTTATTTTGAGACAAGGTGTTGCTATTGCTCACTCTGGCCTTCACTTGCTGTCTTCCTGCCTTAACTCCTACACAGCTGGTAGTGCAGGTGTGCACCACCTCGCCCGGCCAACTGGGTGTTTTCTTGGATGGGAAAAGGTGTGACTAGATGTGATCCCAGGATGGGAAGGCTACAGGACAGAAATTAGGATTACCGGTTCATCTCGTCCTTGTTAGGGTCCCCTTCTGAGTCAGAAGAAGAAACTCCTGGAGAAATAAAAACAAGATGTGAGATTCTGAAGATGATAATTTCTTAAACCAGTTCCTCAACTGAATTTGAAGATCTATAGAATTTTAGACTTAGAAATGAACTCAGTGATTTTCTACCCTAACGTTCGATTTGACAAATGAAGAAACACACCCTAAGAAGTTGAAGGAGTTGCTCAAGGTCACATCTCTAGTTAGTGTTCAAGTTCAAATTAACTGGCCCAACACATGTGTAAATACACATTGTTTCTCCAGTGTGAGAAAATGAAAGTTTAAATAAGGACCAAAATGTATAATAGATATTGGGAAATAGGAAAAAAATGTTCAAATGGGAAGAGGAGCTGGGAGGAAGGAAGGGCAAAAGGAAAGAAGGGAAAAATGGGAAAAGAAGAAAAAAATAGAAGCAAAGTTCTTATAAATAAGGAGGGGACGAGGGGTTGAAGGGAAGGTAGGGAAGGGGGGAAAAAGAATCAAGTTATATCATGTACAGGTACAAATTCCCTATGATGAATGTGGTCACTATGTATACCTAAAATGTACTGATAAATTTAATTAATAAAAAAATTAACTGATCCAGTCTGATGTTTGAGTACGGAAAACACCTGCTGATGTCTTTGGACTGCAGAGAGACCTTTGCAGACATTCTCTGGTGTTCATAAGCACTCATGCTCCTGGCCTGTAAGACTGAATAAAAGAGGAGATTATGCTGGATTCCAAACATTGTAGGTGTAGGAGGCTGCCCTTCCGCCCTGTCCTAATATTAACACGTCCTTCTCCACCTTGACAGTGGGGGTGTTCGAAGTCCTGTTGCCACAAAGAAAAAAACCCCAGCAATCCAATCTCAGCGCTGCTACCAGGATCTTGATCCTGGATTTACTTCTCAAGATAGTGAATTCCAGGAAGATAAAACAGAGCTAAATTGGGAGGTATTTATTATACTCTGAATGCTTGGGATAAAAACATTCAACACGTTCCTATTCATATGCTTACTGAGTAAATGTTTATCAAATATTCACTATGTCCTTGGTATTATGTAAGGTTTTGGAGATTAAAAAATCATGAAACAGTCCTGGCCTTACAACTGAGTTGATAAATGGACATTGACACCACAATAATACAATAGGCAAATGCTGAGACCAAGGCATTTTAAGGTATTGTAGACAACAAAAGTGCTAAAGAATGTCCTTAGGAAAAAAACTCAGAGGATGACACAAAATAAGAATGAATGTTTATGTAGACACGAGGACCATAAACTGATGTCTTCCTTGAAATTAATCACAGCCAACGGACACTGATGTAGCAGCCTTTGAGATACTTCCAACCAGGGTCCCTGCTGCTACCTTGGTTCCCAGCTGTATACTCTCTCTCTTTTTTTTTTTTTGGTTTGTTTTTTTTTCCGGTACCGGGAATTGAACTCACGACCTTGTGCTTGCCAGGCAGGCACTGTGCCGCTGAGCTAAATCCCCAACTCCTCCCCAGCTGTATATTCTCCATCGGGAGCCAGAGTCACTCGGTTCAAACTGTCTGGCTCAGGCCCTCTGGAATTTCCCATCTCCTCAAGGTGAGAACCAAAATCCCTGCAGTGAGCTAGCGGTACTGACACACTCTCCCCTCCTATCTCCTCCGCCCCGCCCACCTGCACCTGCAGGCCGCCCATCCTGCTGCTTTCTCCCTGCCTTGCGCTGCACTGCTCACACTGGCCTCCACCTGGGCCCAGGGCCTCCGCGCCACTCAACCTGCTGATTCTCTGCCTAGCGCACCTTTCTCTTGCATATCCTTGTAGCTCACTCCCTTGCTTCCTCCAGACCACCATGCAAGTGTCATCCACAAGGTCTTCTCTGGCTACCCTGCCTAAAAATAGAGTCAACACACATGCGCATACACACATGCACACACACTCATACATGTACATATACAGTTCCTATCCACTGTTTGGCTATATCTTTCTTCTTTCTTTCTTTCTTTCTTTCACTCTTTCTTTCTTTTTTTCTTGAGACAGGGTCTCACTATACAGTTCAGGTTGACCTTGAACTCATTTTGTAGCCCAGACTGGCCTCAAACTTGTAATGATCCTCCTGCATCAGCTGTTTTGCTACTTCTTCTGCAGGTTTACTTATATCTATGATCTTACATGCTTTATATATTTACCTCATTTGTTTCTCCCATTATAATGTACATTTACCAGCATAGGAATCTATGAATTTTTGTTTGCTGGGTTCATTGCAATATCTCCACTGCCCCAAAGGATGGTAGAATAGGCTCTTAATAAATGTTTATTTATTATAAATTTATGGCTTTATGTTTGGTTTGGTGTGGTTTTGAGAAAGGGCCTCATTAGGTAGTCTAGGATGGCCTTGAACTCACTGATATAGCCCAGCCTGGGCTCGAACTTGCAGCAACCCTCTTGTCTCAGCCTCTTGAGTGCTAGCATTACAGGTGTGTGCCAGCATCCCCCATTAAATTTATGCTCTACTAGTAATTATCACCTTTCAAGAGTATTTTTCTTTACCTTCTATATAAATCTCAGCGGAAGTTGAGTCTGTCCCATAGATGTTAGACGCAAAGCAAGAATAGCGCCCTGTGTCCTCTTCAAAGGCTTCAGCGATGGTCAGTGAGTGGAGGTTTCCTGCCTGGATGATCTGAATGTCTGGGGAATTTTCAAGTTCCTTGCCTTCACAATACCACCTACAACGAAGGAAATACGACCATTGGACACAACTGAAATACAAGCGAATAACGTAGACGGCTCCAGATACTTTCTAAGAAGAAAAGAGACTTAATAACAGACAGGGCTCCAGATATTTCCTAAGAAGAATGCTGCGGCAAATGTAATTTAGAGTCAGAACATTAAACAACCCATTGCTACACAATAGAAGAGTTGGCAGCAGTCAAACCACACTGACGCTCTACTCAGTAAATTGGAAAGTGACTCTTACTTAGAAAGATACACTGACAGGGCGCGAGAGGAGGCACTAGAGCCTCCCACGAGGAGCAGGCCTTTGCTGTGGAAGGTGGCTTCTCCTAAATGACCTTCTGTTCTCTACTACGCATTAAATAGCTCAGCTGGCAAGCGCCGAAGATACAGAAAGGGACTGCGAAGTGGGGCACACGTGTTCCCTGCCACGGAATTGCCTCTGCCCTAACCTAAAGAGAATGAATTTGCTGTTTCTTCCATCACTGGAGTAAGGAGGCTGGGTCATACTCTCCCAGGGGTGGCCCAACACTGGCAAATAACCTACCTTAAACATATTTCTATTATGATATTTTACTTTAATTCTATATACTTGAAGTTAGAAACTTACTATAGCATAGGATTTTCTTGGCCAAATGTTTATAAAAATAATTTTTACAAAGTTGTTTAAAATATAAGAGGTACTAAGAAAAAAGAAACACATATTAAATTAAATGGAAGTACCATCTTTCACTTAATAGATTGGCAGAAGTCAAAGGATGATTACGCATTGTTAGTGAGAATATAAAATGGCATAAGTCCCATGAAAGGAGTCTGGCAATACTGCCAGAATTACAAATGTGTTATTCTTGGACCCAAAAACCCACTTGTTGGAATCTATCATACAGATAGACTTGCACACACCTGAAATGATCCCTGTACAGGGTACTCAATAAAATATCAAAAGATGGGAAACAAATCAAATGTCCATCACTAGGGAACTGATAAACCACAATACAGCCACACAATGGGACACTCTGCAGCTCTAAAACAGAGAATCAGAAAGATCAGTATGTATTGATATGGAAAGGAACCTAACATATGTGGTAAATTTTAACACTACGGTAAAAAATAGGTGTTGGCATTCTGTAAGAAATAGGGCATTATGGGGCAGATTATGTCTCCCCTAAAGGGTAGGTTGAAGTCCTACCCGCCCCCCATACATGTGAATATGACCTAATTCAGAAATAACAGTCTTGCAGATGTAATGAAGTGAAGAGGTCGGTAGGATGGGTCGGTAGGATGGGTCAGTAGGATGGGCCCTAACCCAGTGAAACAAGGGTCTTTGTAGAGGATGAGAACCCATGTGAGACTGGAGCACCACGTGACGACAGAGATAGAGACCGGAGCAACATGGCTGCAAGCCAAAGCACACCACGGATCGACAGCCACCACTGGAGGCAGGAAGAGACCCAGCGTCTCAGCTGCAACACCTCCCTAGCGACACTTGATTCCAGCCTCATTCTCTCATTTTAAGTCACCCAGTTTGTGGTAATTTGTTGTGGCAGCCGTAGGAAACAGATACAGGGGGCAAGAAGTATGACATAGAGAAAACTAGAAAGAATAAAGTGAAAATCAAGTGTGGCTGCCTCTCAGGGTGAAGGGAAACAAGATGGACGACAACGGAGTGAGGCGTCTCATGCACCTCTTTTGTCATTTTCATTTTTTGGAAATAATAATTATTAATTGATATAATAAAAAGTAATTGAGTGGAGAGGTATTATAACTACTCAGGGTGAAAAACTCTGATAGTTACGTCTTCACTTCTGCCAGATCTGACTTCTCAGAGCTGTAGTTCCTCCTCCCACCCTCTACAAAGCAAAATGCTAAAGCATATTAAGGAAATCCCACCTGTTCATCTTCCCAACAGTCAAGTCGTTCTCCAGAGCCCCACAAATACGTCACGGTCACCCCCACATTCAGTCTCTGCTCAGGTTCTCTCTCTGAGATTCTCGCCTTTGCCTTTTGCAATTGCATATATAACTGGTCTACCCACACTGGGCTCAGATATCACCTCTTACATTTTACCACCAACTCTCAAAGATAGTTGTGTTTTCTAATTTCACCTTTTAAAAAAATACCTACACCATGTCATAGAAGACTCGGCTTTTATAATGTCTCCTATTGCTGTGTTTTGAAAATTTCTTTTTTGCTCTTCATTCATGCTTTTAGTTAACACAAATTAATGGCACTCAGTGTGAGAATTTCTCTGGGCTACGAATGCATTGACTGGCCAGACAGGGTTTGAGACGCCCCTGCGGCACCCAGTGCCTGGCACTTCTCCATCCACCCTCTCCTTGGGCCGTCTCGCCTCACCCTGAAGTTTCTGTTATCGCCTCTACTTGGGATAACCTCCCAAGCCTGCCTTTCCACCCGGACTCCTGCCACTCTTCCCTTCGGTGGTCTCTCCAGTCCATGAGCACACGGAGCTTGTCCTCACCGCAGGCTTTCTGTGCTTCCTGAAGTCCTCCTCCCCCAGATCTTCACACAGACAGGTCCCTCTCATCAGTCAAACCTCTGCTCAGACTCAGAGAGGACTCGCCGGGCCTGCTTCCAAGGGAGCCTCTTTTTCCATAATCCCTCTATGCCGTTACCTTCTTCTGTAATCGTCACAGCACTCCTTGCTATCTGAAATTATTTTATGTATTTACTTTGTCACATTTTGCTCCCTCACTGGATTGTGCAGCCCACAAGAGTGCACTCTCTCTCACTTACCACTTCAACTCCAGGACTACAACCGTGCCCTGGCACATGGCAGGTAGTCAGAAATTACCAAAAGACCAAATGATGGGAAAATTTAATAGTTAATATTTGGTGAGCATCAGGTGTGGTGGCGCATGCCTGTAATCCCAGCACTCAGGAGGCTGAGGCAGGAAGATCGGTGGGAATTTGAGACCAGCCTGGGCTACAAAGTGAGCTCAAGGCCAGCCTGAACTGTATAGCAAGACCCTGTCTCAAAAAAAACCAAAAAAAAAAAAAAAAAAAAGGGTGAGCATTTATTATTCCATCAAATTCTCAACCAGTCTCCATTTCTCTTGGGGCAGCAATAGTACGCTGAGCATACAGCAGCTGAGGTGGGCTCATAAATCTCCTTGAGCACAAATCTTACCAAGGCTCCAAGGAGCATGAGTGACCAAACCCTCACAGCATATCTCTGGTTCCAAATATAAACCCGGCATCCAATTCACTGTGACATACTCAGTGTGAGTTTATCTCTCCTCCCTTCCTGACATGCCCCTGAAAGGAGAATAAAGTAATTGTTTAAAGGTACAAAGTCATGAAAACAAAAAGGATAGGAGGGGAGACAATAGTTTCTGAGACCTCAGAGACTTCTGGAAGACAGAAAGCAGACTGAGAAGCCAAGAGTGGCAGTCCCCGCCTGTAATTCCAGTTCTTGGAGGTGGAGGCAAGACGATCACAAGTTCGAGACTAGCCTGGGTAACTTAGCAAGACCTTGTCTTGCTAAACCCAAACTGGTGCAAAATACAAGAGCAGGCTGAGAAGCTAAGAGAATTGAGAAACGTGCATACCAAGTGCCTATTTGGGGATATTAGTAAAAGAGGAAGCCAAATTGTACAGCAGAATCCCAGGAAGTTTTGGGATTTGGAGGGACAAAATTGCTAATTAAAAAGGAGATGGCATGGAGCTTGAAACAGGGAAATGGGTTACCATTTTGGAACATGAGCTTTGGCCCTCCCGTCAGGTCAGCTCCCCCATCTGTGCAGTCAGGGATGAGGGTGGAGCAAGCCCTTCCATACTGGAGAAGAATAAAGAGAGATTTGCTAAGGAATTTCTCTAGGGCAAAACAAACGGGCAGAGCGGCTCACTCGAGACTCAGCTGCCCGGCACAGAATATGTACAGGTTTCACAAACTGGAGAACTGAAGCAAATTTGTGATAGGACCATAGAACTTAGTGCACAAAAACAAACAGCAAAACCAAGACAACAAGCACAACAAGTCAACATAAAAAGTAGTACTTTCAGCCTTCCATATCTGTGGGACCCAATGTTTGCATTCAACCAACTACGGGCCCCCCGAAGAACATCTGGAAAAAGAATTGTGTCTGTGAATATACGCAGGCCTACTTGGGCCATTAGTTCCTAAACAATGCAGTATAACAACTACTAACATAGCATTTGCGTTGACTTAGTTATTATGAGTAATCTAGACATGACTGTAGGTATGGAAGGCCTGGGGTGTACTTGTTCGAGGGCTTGCCCAGCACGGGCCGGGCCCTTGCGTCAAACTCCATTACCAACCGAATAAAACCAGCAACGCCCCTATTTGGGAAGATGTGCACAGGTCATATAAAATAAAGTTTTACATAAGGGACTCACACTTCTGCAGAGTTTAGGAACCCTGGGGCAGTCCTGGAGCCCATCCCCTGCAGATATGGAGGGCCACTGCCCAAGCAAGGAAACACTCACTTCATGCTGCTAGGCCTGGTAACAAACAGTCACACAATAACAGGAAAATAAACATCAAAAACTTCTTAAACGCTGATCATACTGAGCTGGTGAACGAGGGAGAATGGCGGCGCGTCAGTGGAGGTTCAAAGCCAGGGCAGGGCAGAACAGGAAGTCTCTGCGAACAGCTTCCGTCCGCATGCCAAGCAACAGTAGTTTAAGCACACTCCAGCGGTTCCCAAAGTGCAGGCTACGTATGTGCAAGCGAGTGAGATTATTTGCCTTTCCACTTTGCTGACATTTACACCAGTGGAGCAAAAGTCACAATGGCTAAAGTTGCTGCTGCTCTAGCAGCACAGATTAAAGCACTGTCACAACCCTGACTGCGCTTCGGACCTTCCACCACTCTCACAGTAAGACACCAAACCCAACCAAAACAAAAACCAGTTTCTTAGTGAAGCAATAAATATCGGCACCTCTGTTAAATCTCAAACTTGAGTTCATGTCTTCAGAAATACTCTGGGTGGTGAACCGAGAAAGCAGAATA